AGTGAATGCGGGGTCCCGGGAGAGCGGATATAGTGAACGCGGGGTCCGGGGAGAGCGGATATAGTGAATGCGGGGTCCGGGGAGAGCGATATAGTGAATGCGGGGTCTGTGGGGAGCGGATATAGTGAATGCGGGGTCCGGGGAGAGCGGATATAGTGAATGCGGGGTCCGGGGAGAGACTGGATATAGTGAATGCGGGGTCCGGGGAGAGAGCGGATATAGTGAATGCGGGGTCCGGGGAGAGCGGATATAGTGAAATGCGGGGTTCGGGGAGAGCGGATATAGTGAATGCGGGGTCCGGGGAGAGCGGATATAGTGAATGCGGGGTCCGGGGAGAGCGGATATAGCGAATGCCTCGGATTGCGAATCAATCTTCTGTCAATGTATTTCAAGAGGGCAGGTCAGACTTGGAGTCCGAGACTCCCTTGTCTGCCCGTTACAGCAAGCAGTGACATAATTTGAACGCTTTTCCTCAGTACTACAGAGCGATTTGTGTACGAACTAAAAACAGGGACTTTCAGATTCTTCTCAACTTTTGCTCCCCAGATTTGTACCTTCTCAGCCCGATCTATCCAATGGAATCCTCAGACACCGGATTAAATGCCATTCCTCACCAAAAAGCCATCCGTGGCCCTGTTGTTACACAGTGAACCATGACATCATCTCCCAATATATTCAGTGATGGCAGATCTTTGCACTGTGAATCATTAGTCAGTCTCCACCCAAGGAAACTATCAGTGATCACAATGGATCTCAATGCTGCCAGCTGCCATGTATGACAGCTGTCACATGCACACGCCTGAGACAGGGATGTTCAGACTCCAAAGAATATCAAGACATGTGCTGAGCCCACGTGTGCTCCTTATCAGTGTTATAATGTGGTCAGAATTCCTCATCTAGATCAGCGCTGCCAGTCACAACCGCGCCTATGCGAGAATCTGAATATTCAAGCAACGCCTAATCTGCGCACAGATTATATATAATATATATATATACACACACATATACACACACACGAGAACTGTTTTGTATTTCTGTCTGTCCAGTTCTGAGATTTACCCAGCTCTGCGATAAGTTTCCCTTTGGGAACATGTTATATGTTCCACCTATTTTTAGAATGTGTAACATGTTCCCATAACTGCAGCCACGCCCGCCGTCCCCCCCCCCTCTGACAGTGCGGGGAGAAGTTTCTCCGTAGTATCTTTCAAATATGAAACATCTACGTCATTCAACTCACGGACTTCTGTGAATGAATGAACTGCAAGTCCAAACTGCCTTAGTGGCTGTGGGCTTGTAGTCTTCAATGAACTATCATGGCCCTGTGGAGCTCTATGGTGGTTCACTGAAGCTTCATGTCCAAATATCTGCTTGACTGTACATCCCATACATCCTGTACATCCCATACATCCTGTACACCTCGTACTCCCCATACATTCCCCGTACTCCCCATACATTCCCCGTACATTCCCCGTTACACCCCATACATTCCCCGTACACCCGTACATTCCCCATACATTCCCCGTACACCTCGTACAACCCATACATCCCCCGTTCCCCCGTACACCCCATACATCCCCCGTTCTCCCCGTACACCCCCATACATTCCCCGTACTCCCCATACATCCCCGTACTCCCCATACATTTCCTGTACTCCCCGTACACCCCATACATTCCTGTACTCCCCCGTACACCCCATACATTCCTGTACTCCCCGTACACCCCATACATTCCTGTACTCCCCGTACACACCCCATACATTCCTGTACTCCCCGTACATTCCCCATACATCCCATACTCCCCGTACACCCCATACATTGTACTCTCCGTACACCCCATACATTCCTGTACTCCCCCGTACACCCCATACATTCCTGTACTCCCCGTACTCCCCTCATACATTCCCCGTACTCCCCCCATACATTCCCCGTACTCCCCCCATACATCCCTGTGCATCCCATACGGCAAGCAGATATTCGGACAGGTCTGCAGGAGACCTGCATGGCATCAGCAATCTACCAATCGCTGGTGCAATGCTTTCCAGGCTTCTTTTGGACTTTTTGCTGTAAAACATGTCCAGAAAAAAAATGTAAAATGATCTAATCTCGGCCATTGCCCGCTGAACCAGCCAAATTTCGATCCATTTACGGCCAGCTTTAGCCATATAAGCATCTTGGAGGAGACATGAAAATAAATTGGACCACATTTAAAAAAAGTGTCAAGAGTAACAGCCAAACAAGTTCCCTCATTCATCCTGCCAGTGCAGTATAGAGGGAAGACACTGTGTGGCTGCTATTATTGACACATGTACCTCCTGTAATAGGAATCTCCATCATCCTGGGATTTCGTACCTCTTTCAGTGTGATCTTGGCAGTGTACACGATGTTTGACCCGTCTCTCTTGAAATGTGCATGAGGTTTGTCCTTCAGTAGGAACACAATGTCTGCGGGGATGTTTTCTGACGTGGCGTCGCCCTCTTTCGGGAAAGTGATCTTGGTGCCCTCCTTCCACCCTTTCTTGATGACCACGTTGAGAATCTTGTCCTCCGATCTTACAGTGCGGCCATCGGGGTTCAGCCGCCGCCGCGTGATCTTCATCCGTTTTGTACAGCCGTGATAAATCTCCTCCAAGGACACTTTCAGCTCGTGAATCACGGGAGGGTCCTGCACTTTCCGGCGGCGGTGTGTATCTGGTCCTGGTGCCGCCGGTGGAAACCGTTCACGCCGTTGAAGCCGAAGTGGCTGAAGCCGCTGAAGGGGTCGTCGTTATCGTCGTCGATGTCCATGTCTTCGTGGTCAAAGCCATTGGCCATGCGGGTGCGATTTGAACCGAAGAAGATGTCAAAGGGATTTGAGCCTCCAAAGAAAGAGGCGAAGGTTGCGTGGGGGTCACCGTGGAAAGTGTAATGGAAGGAGCTGCCTGTGTTACCTGATGAGCCACCCCCAGTTTTTAGACCTAGAGAAATGAAAGATGAAATGGGGTTAAAAAAAATGAAGGAATGGATTTACGGAAGAACAAAATGGCATCTTCATATTCCTAAAAGGTTGGTCCATGCTGAAAAAAAAAAAAAAAAAAAAAAAAGCACAAGTAGATTTTCATTTCAGACACTTTAACCACCACCGTAATATTTTGGTGCACATCCAGCACAATCCCACTACTAGGTTACTGAACATGAACCTTCGCCAAAACAGTTGTCACCAGAACAGGAGGAACAGTGAAATGTTTCCATTGGAGACACGTCTGGTGACCAATATTTCAGAGAAAGATGTCCCCCTTGCTCTTACAGAGATTTACTTTCATTTTTGGAAAAGAAGTGAAAGAAAATCTCCCCAGTGGGAACACTGGATAGGGGTTTTAACCATTCTCTACTCTATCCTAGGTGGAAAAAAAAAAAAAATTTGGCTTAGGATACACTTTAAAGGAGATTGTAGAAAAATCTACCTTTTGTAATGGGTCCTATCTCCCCACACTGCAAGAATGAAATGTTTATTAAGTCTTGTGGTAGAGGAATGGGGTGTGATACTTACCTTTTTCTTCACCCTGGCAGGCTTATGGCGCTCTCGTATTTCTCTTTCATGCTCAGGGTTATGGGCCGCCCTCGCTGTCCCTATGTACAATGCAGGATTGGATGGTATTGTACTTGGCATGCGGTCACCAACCAGAGCATCTTAACATTCCAGGCTTCAGGAGACCCGTCACATAGAATGGAGAAAGCATGCTGGAGTGAGGAATGAGGTAAGTATTATTCCTGTACCCCTAGACTTAATGAGCATTCTACTCTCTCAATGTCTTGCTTGTTTTGTAAAAGTGTTTGTGTCCACCAATGTTGTAATCCATGGCCCAGCAGGAACCGCCGACCCAGTCTTTTGCTCTTCAGCACTACAATGTGGGTGGAGAATCCGACCAGTGACTCTGCTTACAGTTAAAGCATACTGGTGTCAGTGACGGGACCCATCCGAGACCAGCATGCAGAGCAAGCAGCGTTAGTGTCGCAACTGGAACCGGAGGAGAGGAAGATCACAGGACTGTGGATCACACCAAGAAGTAATGGATGTTACAAACTTCACTTTAAAAAAATGAGAAAGGGACATGGCGAATATAATTTATATATATATATATATATATATATATATATGTGTGTGTAAATATAGTAGAAAACACCTGTTGTGATTCCACGAGGTGGTGGGAGGTTGGTGCACAGAAGTGGGGGAGGCTATTTTGTTTTTGCTGCACCAGACCTTTGCTTTGCCCAAGTAAGAGAAAATCTCTCCCAACAATACAACGATAAAAAAACACGATAGAGGCTTTAAATTACCCTCCCCCCCCCCCCCCCTTCCTATCCACAGACTAAAAAAGTTTTGGCTGCAGTTCCATCCTAACTCCACAGAAGAACACAGTGCCTCTGAGTGTAGACTGTATAACCGCTTTAACCCCTTCCAGTCCGGACACTTTCACCCCCCTTCCAGTCAAGGGGTGAAAGTGTCCGGACTGGAAGGGGGGTTAAAAGTGTCCGGACTGGAAGGGGGGTAAAAGTGTCCGGACTGGAAGGGGGGTAAAAGTGTCCGACTGGAAGGGGGGTAAAAGTGTCCGGACTGGAAGGGGGGTAAAAGTGTCCGGACTGGAAGGGGGGTGAAAGTGTCCGGACTGGAAGGGGGGTAAAAGTGTCCGGACTGGAAGGGGGGGTAAAAGTGTCCGGACTGGAAGGGGGGGTAAAAGTGTCCGGACTGGAAGGGGGGTGAAAGTGTCCGGACTGGAAGGGGGGTGAAAGTGTCCGGACTGGAAGGGGGGTGAAAGTGTCCGGACTGGAAGGGGGGTGAAAGTGTCCGGACTGGAAGGGGGGGTGAAAGTGTCCGGACTGGAAGGGGGGTGAAAGTGTCCGGACTGGAAGGGGGGGTGAAAGTGTCCGGACTGGAAGGGGGGTAAAAGTGTCCGGACTGGAAGGGGGGGTGAAAAGTGTCCGGACTGGAAGGGGGGTGAAAGTGTCCGGACTGGAAGGGGGGTGAAAGTGTCCGGACTGGAAGGGGGGTGAAAAGTGTCCGGACTGGAAGGGGGGTAAAAGTGTCCGGACTGGAAGGGGGGTAAAAGTGTCCGGACTGGAAGGGGGGTTAAAGTGTCCGGACTGGAAGGGGGGTAAAAGTGTCCGGACAGGAAGGGGGGTAAAAGTGTCCGGACAGGAAGTGGTTAAAATGACAACCAGGCTCATATGGACCGGATGTGCAGACCGACGCCTCATCGCGAGAGGTGGCAGTATGGACGTGTGCAGCGCTCCCCACTGTCCTGCCTGCACACATCCATACTGCGGGTTACCACCTGGCGATGAGGCGGTCTGCACATCCGGTCCATATGAGCCGGGTTGTCATTTTAAAGATGTGAGTTGCTAACTTACCTTTTAATTATTAAAGCTGTTATACAGTCTATACTCAGAGGTGCTTGTGTTTCTTCTTCTTTTTTGCTTCACTCTACCGCAGCTTGCCCTGGCATTCAGACTGCTGACCCCTCCCTCCGCTTATGGATTTTACATCCATTGAGTTCAATAAAGACTCTATGGACTGCATACTCCATGCGCCTCTTTATTTCCCGGTCCATCCGAACTCCACAGCCCTTCCACTGCTGATAACTGGCATGCACTTAGAAAGGAAATGTGATACATTGTTAATATGCTGTCCAACACTGCGGTCAGCATGGGAAGTGCTCCAGTATACCCAGCATTCCTCACCTTCCTCCCCGTACTGGTCGTACACCGCCCTCTTCTTGGGATCGCTGAGGACGTCATAGGCCTCTGCGATCTCCTTGAACTTGTCCTCGGCGTTGGGGTCCTTGTTCTTGTCGGGGTGATATTTCAGGGCCATCTTGCGATAGGCCTTCTTGATCTCATCCTCGTTGGCCCCGTTAGGGATGCCCAGAATCTTGTAATAATCTTTCCCCATGTCCACTGTCTGAGGCTTCTGATCGAGAATCCTCGCCCCTGGAAAGATAAAAACAGGGATGTTAGGTGGAACGGTCAAATGTTTCCAACACTGCGGCCAAGCACACGGCAAAGCTCGTTAATTCCGTCACCCAAAAAGAATCTCAAATCTGAAACCTACAGTATATAAAAGTGTACAAGTGTAATGCAAAAGACTAAAGGCAAACCTAGGTCTGTCCTATTTCTGAATATTTATTTTACAGGTACTTATATAGTAGCTGGGCAGCACAGTGGCTAAATGGTTAGCACTTCCACCTGGCAGTACTCAGGTCGTTGGTTCGAATCCCAACCATGGCACCACCTGCCTGGAGTTTGCATGTTCTCCCTGTGCCTGCGTGGGTTTCCTCCGTTTCCGGTACACTCCAAAGACATGCTGGTAGGTTAATTAGATCCTCTATAAATTTCCCTTAGCATATGAATGTGAGTTAGGGACCTTAGATTGTACGCCCCTTGAGGGTTAGGGACTGATGGGAATGTACAATAAATATATGTAAAAGCGCTGAGTAAATTGACGGCGCTATATAAGTACCTGAAATACATAAAATATAGCAATATATATATAGTGAAAATATTATAAAAATATAATATATTCACATCAGTCCCTAACCCTCAAGGGGTACAATCTAAGTCCCTAACCCTCAAGCGGTGTACAATCTAAGGTCCCTAACTCACATTCATACATACACATACTAGGGACAATTTAGACAGGAGCCAATTCACCTACCAGCATGTCTTTGGAGTGTAGGAGGAAACCGGAGTGTAGGAGGAAACCGGAGTACCCGGAGGAAACCCACGCAGGCACAGGAAGAACTTGCAAACTCCAGGCAGGTGGTGCCGTGGTTGGGATTTGAACCAGTGACCTGAGTACTGCCAGGCGGAAGTGCTAACCATTTATCCACTGAGCTGCCCATAAATGGCTTCTACACACACTACACAAAATGTTCCAGCACTTATCAACGAGAACCAGTCTAATGTGTTTCAAAATTCACCTCTTTGCAACCACAGCAACTATGACCTTCCTAAGAAATGAGAAAAGGAAAGGGATTCAGAGGAGGGAGAGAGAGGGAAGAGTGACAGAGAGAGAGAGAGAGAGAGAGAGAGAGAGAGGAGGGGAGAAAAAGACAAGAGGAGCGAACATGAAAAGGAAAACTGCTCAACTTTTTTCTAAAAGTATTTATTTCTAAATTGCGATTTGCAATTACTGGTAACACTCCCTTACATTAAACAGCCATTATTTCCTGCATACAAGCTATACATGGGATATTCCAGGGATATTCTGGGAAGTAATTAGAGGGTAGTCAAGGGGTTGTCATACTCTTCAGAGGTAATGTGACTGCCACACTTTGCTGGGCTGGATGGGCCAGTTACTGTCCGTACATTTGATTTCTCCCTCATCTCATTCTATCCCCCCCACTTCCAGGTAATGAGATGCCACACTTCTGGGCTGGATGGGCCAACGTACTGTTCAGAAACTTGTCCGGATTTCCCCCCCCCATTCAAAAGAAGAACTCATTGGGGACTATCCAACATTATGTTTAACCACTTCCAGTCCGGACACTTTCACCCCCTTCCAGTCCGGACACTTTCCCCCCCCTTCCAGTCCGGACACTTTCACCTCCTTCCAGTCCGGACACTTTCACCCCCTTCCAGTCCGGACGCTTTCACCCCCTTCCAGTCCGGACGCTTTCACCCCCCCTTCCAGTCCGGACGCTTTCACCCCCTTCCAGTCCAGGCCAATTTTCAGCTTTCAGCGCTATTACACTTTGAAAGACAATTGCGCGGTCATGCAACACTGTACCCATAGGAATTTTTTAGCAGTTTTTTGAGACCGATATAACTTTATTTTGGTGGTATTTATTCACCGCTGGGATTTTTATTTTTTTTTTTTTGCTATAAAAATTAAATGGTTCAAAAATTTTGAAAAAAAAAAACTGTTTTTCTTTTGCAAATAAATAATATTTCATCTTAAATCTTGGCCAAAATTTATTCAGTTATCTTTTTAGTAGAAAAAAAAAAAAAAAAATCCAAATTGGTTTATAACCAAAAATTTATTTTTACATTTTTTTTTTTTACATTTTGATATTATTTAGGTTTTTTGTTTTATATAGTTTTTTTTTTTTTAACATACTGTCACCCTAGCAGTACAGGGTCACCATGGTGACACTGTACTACTTGTGGGGGTGTTAAAGATTTTTTTTTTTTTTTTTACACTGATTGTTTTTATACCCATAAAGGCTGTAAAAGTAATCATCTCTCCTCTTTGGCTGCATTCTTGCAGCCATTGGGAAAAAAAACTGTGTGAGTTGTGATTGGTTACAGCTTGTCACATGGTACAAGGCTGTTGTGAATAGCCCTGTACCATGTGATCTCTGTGATCATTCACAGATTTCACATGTCGTAAGCAATGATGTCAGAAGTGACATCTTGCTTACTACTCTGCATGTGATCACTGATTGGCCAATCAGTGATCAAATGATCGAGACCTCGCACAGAGGTCCCATACGATGATCGGTGTTCCACTGTGTCCAGAGGACACAGCGGGCACCGGATCGCGGTGCTGCGTGCTCCCAGGGAGCACGCACAGCTTGAAAATGCGGGCACCGTTTATGAACGGCAACCCATCCCTGGACTGCCGCCGACTGCCAACTCTGCAGGGGGCCCAAACTTTTGCAGACGCCATTTTTTTGTTTTCTGTTATTTTGAAAGTGTAAATGATGGAAATAAAATCTAACTTTTGTTGACATATTATAAGAATGTCTAATCTGTAATTTGATGCCTTTTGGAGATTTTTCCATCTTTCCTTGGCTTCTTTATGCACATTAATACACATTTTTAGCTGGGGTGCCCAAACTTTCGATCCCCACTGTATGTACAGCGGCTGGACGGCAAGTGGTTAATAAGTGTGATTTACAGGAATTTGGAGTTGTTTTGGAAAGCTATGCGGTTTATCCACATTAGAAGTGACGTCATCGGTGAACGCTGACACGATTGCTCATCAGAAAAACAAATCTACGGACGTGCAGGGTTTGGTGATGAGTCGAAGAAGTCATTTCACCTTTTGTACGTCTCGTATTAATATCGGGTTGTTGATGTGACACTTGCAGACTATTTCTGGAAAGTATTAAGTTAGCGATGATCATTTAATGACTTCTGCTGACGGAGCTCATAGCTTTATATAATCATGATACTACTGGTAGGGCAACGCGACGCTCCAGAAAACACATCCATATGTTTCTTTGGGAACTTATAACCTTACACTAGGGAAATACAAATCAAAAATGAGTTATTTTGCAGTTCTGCGGAGAAGCCATTTATGTAGGATATACCATTTAGGAAACCTTAGGGACATCCTATTGGATGTTGTAATTTATTTATTTCAGGTACTTATATAGCGCTGTCAATGTACGCAGCGCTTTCCATATACAGTGGGGATTGAAAGTTTGGGCACCCCAGCTAAACATTTGTATTAATGTGCATAAAGAAGCCAAGGAAAAATGGAAAAATCTCCAAAAGGCATCAAATTACAGATTAGACATTCTTATAATATGTCAACAAAAGTTAGATTTTATTTCCATCATTTACACTTTCAAAATAACAGAAAACAAAAAAATGGCGTCTGCAAAAGTTTGGGCACCCTGCAGAATTTATAGCATGCACTGCCCCCTTTGCCAAGCTGAGACCTGCCAGTGTCATGGATTGTTCTCAATCATCGTCTGGGAAGACCAGGTGATGTCAATCTCAAAGGTTTTAAATGCCCAGACTCATCTGACCTTGCCCCAACAATCAGCACCATGGGTTCTTCTAAGCAGTTGTCTAGAAAACTGAAACTGAAAATAGTTGACGCTCACAAAGCTGGAGAAGGCTATAAGAAGATAGCAAAGCGTTTTCAGATGTCAATATCCTCTGTTCGGAATGTAATTAAGAAATGGCAGTCATCGGGAACAGTGGAAGTTAAAGCAAGATCTGGAAGACCAAGAAAAATATCAGACAGAACAGCTCGCAGGATTGTGAGAAAAACAATTCAAAACCCACGTTTGACTGCACGATCCCTCCAGAAAGATCTGGCAGACACTGGAGTTGTGGTACACTATTCCACTATAAAGAGATACTTGTACAAATATGGTCTTCATGGAAGAGTCATCAGAAGAAAACCTCTTCTACGTCCTCACCACAAAAATCATCGTTTGAACTTTGCAAATGAACATATAGACA